CAGCCTGTGTGCCCAGGGTTTTTATTCTTTCTAAACATTACTGTTTTTACTAAGAGGTGCCTTCCTAGAATGATAGCCACTTAGTAAAATTGATTATAACTATTATATACCACATGGCCACTCTGTTTGATGTACATGTGCCAAGAGCTTGGATACACACAGATTGATGGCAGATTTTGTGGAGGAATACATTCGGAGCCTCTCTAAGGTGAGGCTAAGGGACAAATGAATAATGAAAGGCTCTTGGATTTTTTTTTTTTCAGCCAATGCAAGTAATCCTTTCACTCGCTTTTTTTTTTTTTTTAACTGCATCTAAAAGTTCCATCACACTCAACTTTACACACTCCACAGTGTACCCAGGAGGAAGGTTAGAATCCAGGCTTCAGGCTAAAATAAGTGGGGGTGCAGAAGCTGCGGTCACTGCTTCCTCTCCACGGTATCTTCTGAAAGGATGACCTTGGCCCTTCTTGCTCGGGACTGACTCACCCAGAGGAGAGGAGGCGCTTCGCACCCAACAGGAAGAAAATCCAGATTAGAACCTCGTGCTCTCCCCTTTTTTCTGGCCTTTTTGCCATTGGTAAGATTGGGATGGTTTGGACTATGGATGGCATAATGATATTAATGTTTATTTTGGCTTTTGTCACATCCCCATTCCTTTAACTTTTAAGTCCAGCTTCTTTTGGCTTTTCTCAATAATGTTCACCAAGATTCAATTTAAAATGATGAAGACCAGGTCTGGTCTCTCCCTCGTAAATGAATTATGGACGTTTTCACCAAATCATGAGCATTTTCCAGCTTTTAGGACTGAGGGTGTCATCCCTGGATTTCACTCTCTGAGAATGTCAGAGTCTGAGAGAAGATAAATTTAGAAGATGAAATAATGTTTGCATCATTAAGCTAATTATCTTCCCTATCTAATGAATCATCTTAGTATTATTATTTGTTCCGCATGTATTATGTTTATTGTGGAAATGTTTATGTAACATGCTTTCTATATCAGGGAAAATCATATATGTTTAATAAATTGGCTATAACTTTAATATCTGTGGAAAACTTGTAAAATTTGGAATGTATCATATGTAAAAAGCTTAAAGATATCCAAATAAATGCTTTAGGTGTTGACATTACTTTGGGTCTGTCTACATTTTCATTTTGTTTCACACTTAAATACCCTGGAAGTGTTCCCCATGTCACCTTGCTACAAGTAAAGTGGGACATGTGTATTAGCTTGGCATTTAAGATGCTTATGTTATTAGTGTCTGTTATGGCCATTAGCCAGACATCTTGACCTTCCCATAGAAAGCTTGATCATCATTTCAGCTGATTAATTTCCCTGTTAATTGGCTATGACAGCTTGTGACCTTTCTAAACCATTATGGACCTCAAGGCACGAGAAAAGGGGGCACTCGGAGTCTCTCCCAACGCCGAGACCTGTCTCCAGGTGTAAACTCTTCACTTGATCCCAGTCTTGTTCTTCCACACTCCCCAGACACTTTCTACTTATGAGAGAGACAGGTAGGAGAGGAGTGGCATCCAGTGCCAGGGAAGCATTACCTACGAGAGCTCGGCTGTACTCTTATTTTTTTTTCTGCTATACTTCTTAGAATCCTCTTCAAAGGAAAGGATCACACTGAAAAAGCAAGTTTCCATTGTATTACCCCCCATCATTAATGCTGCCTTCAGCTTCTTCCCTTCCCTGGTCCTAGTGTCCTCAGGTCCAGGGCTCAGTAAGCCCTGTGATACACTCCTTGCTCTGTTGCTACTCTTGTTTTCCAAGTCAGGGTTTTTGGGGTTTGTTTAACAACAACCACAATCAAGAAATAGAATAGTTCCATCACCCAAGCTCTCCCATCCTGACCCCTGGCAACCACTAATTTTTTTCCCCATCCCTTTGCCTTGCCTCTTCATAATGTTGTGTTTTTTTTAATATATATTTTATTGATTTTTCACAGAGAGAAAGGGAAAGGTATAGAGAGTTAGAAACATCAATGAGAGAGAAACATCGATTCAGCTGCCTCCTGCACACTCCCCACTGGGGATGTGCCCGCAACCAAGGTACACGCCCTTGACCGGAATCGAACCTGGGACCGTTCAGTCCGCAGGCTGACGCTCTATCCACTGAGCCAAACCAGTTAGGGCTTCCATAATGTTTTATAACTATCTTATGTAACCTTTTGAGACTGCTTCTCTCACAAAGAAGGCATGCAGCCCTAGCCGATTTGGCTCAGTAGGTAGAGCATCGGCCTGTGGACTGTAGGGTTCCAGGTTCAATTCTGGTCAAGGGCACATATCTCAGTTTCAGGCTTCCAGCCCTTTTGAGGGCACATGTGGGAAGCAACTAATTGATGTGTCTCTTTCATATCAGTGTTTCTCTCTTCCCTCTCCCTTCCACTCTCTCAAAATCAATGGAAAAATATCCTCAGGTGAGGATTTAAAAAAAAAAAGAAGAAGAAGGTATGTGTTTGAGGATCATCTATATTTCCTTTGGTCGCCAAAGAGTTGGGAGTCCTGTAATACATGCTGTTGAATTGTGCACACACAGCAGATGAATTTACATGAAATAACAACACACACCCTTTATCTTCAAGTGTTTGCATCACCAGGTAGTGCTTGTGCAGTTAACAGGTGAAGGACATTTGGGCAATTTTTGGTGATTATAAATAAAGCCACTATAAACATTCATGTACAGGTTTTTGTTTGATCTAAGTTTTCATTCCATTTGGGTAAACAGGAGTTTTCCTTTATATATAACTTAATCCACACCGTCCTTGTACTACATTCTTTTAACTTTGCTATTTATACTCATCCTCTGGAGGACAAGAAAGACAGTGCATCAGGAGTTAAGGACTGATATATCCTCCCTTGAAGCCAATCTCAAGTCCACTGAGGACTGGGAAGGCATCCCCACTCCCCCACGTCCCTATTCCCAACACACAGCACAACTTGCTGGCCATGCTGTCATCAGCCATCTTTTTTATCTAGTGCAGGTCAGAGGCCCTAATTGCTTTGGTCCCCCCTGCCACCAGGCTAAGCCGCAAACCTTCTGGCCTAGCACCACAGGTGCCCAGAAGAGGAGGGGCAGGGCAGCGTGCAGAGCCAGCAGCTAATCTTATTAATCTGTATTGAGGTCACTCAGGGTTTATTTGCTGCTGGTGGCTCAGTCCTGGTTTCAGTGTATTGCAACAGACTGTGGGTTATTGAGCTGAGGCCACAAATTCTAGGAAATCCACCTTCCTAAATGTTCAGAATAAGCATTGCATACTTCTGCACTGTGGAGTGTTTTAAAAATAAAAGTCCTGCTCTAACCGGTTTGGCTCAGTGGATAGAGCGTCGGCCTGCGGACTGAAGGGTCCCAGGTTCGATTCCGGTCAAGGGTATGTACCATGGTTTTGGGCACATCCCCCAGTAAGGGGTGTGCAGGAGGCAGCTGACCGATGTTTCTTTCTCATCGATGTTTCTAACTCCCTCTCCCTTCCTCTCTGTAAAAAATCAATAAAATATATTTTAAAAAATAAATAAAATAAAAGTCCTAAGGCACTGTCTTTACCTATCCCAGGGCTAGGCTAGCAGGACTTTGAAATCTTGGAGTCCCTTGGGTGAAATGAATTTGCACTGGCCCAAGGAAAGACCTAGGTTAGACACCAGGGAGAACCTGGTGCCGAGTTCCACTGGGCACTGGTCGGTGACCAAAGGAGGTGGGCCAGCTTTCCCTGGCAACTATGGCTCCCTGAGGAGATCTGTTAAGATGCAGCTCTTCTAAGTCTGCTCTGAACCAACTGGTGATCATTATTGGAGGGTGAGTTAATCCTTTGTCCTCAGACCCTAAAGTTGCTTATATCTGCCCTATAACCTGGACCCATCGAGATGCATATTTCCTTGTTTGGGGAAATACGTTTTGGCCAGAGCAGGGGAAAAATGCTTTGGAATTTTTACTTAAATCACTAAAGTAAGACACCACATATTGAAATATTAGGTAAATTCAGCCGTGGTCCAGACTCTAGCAAAATGTTGAGATTATTTGGATAAATTGATAGTCACTGTTCTTGCAGGTAAGAGAGTAAGAAGGCAGGAAGGAGGTGGCTCCCATGCTGTTGAAACACAGTTACCCTGGTCATGAACAATGCTTCTGTTTCGTGTCAGGTTTGGTTTTGTTAAAAAATATTAGGTAGAGCCCTAGCCGGCCTGCGGACTGAAGGGTCCTGGGTTTGATTCTGGTCAAGGGCACATGTCCGGGTTGTGGGCTCAATCCCCGGTGTGAAGCGTGCAGGAGGCAGCCTATCAGTGATTCTCTCTCATCATTAATGTTTCTATCTCTCCCTTTCCCTTCCTCTCTGAAATCAAAAATATTAAATATATATATGTTAGGTAAAGTTGGGGATCCTGTAATACATGCTGCTGAATGGGCTAAGATAGGCATTTTCATACTATACACAAGTGGTTTTCATACAATATAATTTTAATGTCTATTGTACAGCTTAGTTACACATCTGGCCTAGAGCAGCACTTTCCCCGTGGTTCTCAGCACTCCTGAGAGGAAAGAGGGCCCCGGAAGGGGGGCCCAAGGAATCAGAAGTCAGATTAAACCTGGGACCAACATCTGACAGTGTCCAAACATCTTTGTTGGGTCTTAAGCCTGGGAAAGTTAGAGCCCCAAAACACACCCCAGGCAGCACCAAAAGTCTTGCTTTCTCCACACCGGAAACTCAGGATGGCAGTGAAATCATTCTCTCCTTCAACTAAACAAGCTTCCTTTCTCTCTCTCTCCTGAAGGAACTGGAAACCTCTGTTGCAGTGCTAGCTCAGGAAGACGGCTGTCTTGAAGAATCCTCTTTAATGCAGAGGCATCCCAGGAATATTGCTTTGAAGGATGGCTGTCTGGGGATAGAAACAGGAAGAAGCTCCCAGAGGACTCTGCCCTCCACTGTAGACAATTAGTGTTGCCCACGGGGGCTGACACGCCCACCTGTGCGGGCCTCCCTGGGCCCACCACGAGGTGAGGCCTGGTCTCCGAAGGGTAGACTCCCGTCTGATGGTTGCTCCTCTTCCACGGAAGGGCAGGCGTCCCCCCAGAGCCAGAGGAGCCCACCCAGACCTTTCGGGGTGGGATGCTGCTGGGACATGACAACAGCTTGACTTCCTCCACCCGTAGCTCACTCCTGGCCAAGTGAGGGCACGTGATTGAGACGGAGCAGGCCTTTAACTGTGTTCTTGGTGGGGAGAAACAATCCTCTGTCTAAATGCTCTTGCCCCGTCATTGGAGAATTCTTCTTTTGAGCCCTCCCTGCTTTGGAGAGTCCGGTACCCTTAGAAGAGTATAATTGTCCCCCAATTTCTGCCATTAAGCAAATACAATGGCTGACCTATCAATCTTGGCATTTTTTAAAAGGATAACATGGCCAGTACTTTTGTTCAGACTCCTGTGCTTATGCACCTGGTGACATTTGGATGTAGAATGAAGCCTCTTGGAGCTTATAATGGCAAACACAGCAAAGGGAGCAGCCCTCGGGTGTAGCCAGTACTCTTAGGGTGGAACTGAGATGGGTGCCGTGAGAGAGAGAGATTGTGGGCTGGTCATCCCCAGAGACCCCTGAGGCCACCGTGAGACCATGTGCTAGAGCAGTGGGCCTGAAGGGGCTCATTCACTCACATTTTGAGTCATTCATTCAACAAATGTTTGATAATGCTTTTAGGGACCCTAAACTTTCCATCCCACCATCAGGGAGAGTCTGTGAGGTGGCCATCCTCCTTGGGAGCTTCAGATTGAACAAGGGTGTGTGTCCGCATTTCTTGGAGTCCATTACTTCTCAGCGTTCTGGAGGGAGGGGACCCGGGGCCATCAGCCAGCCTCGGGGGCCTGGCCTGCGTCTGCGCCCTCGGCTTCCACCTGGTTGCTCTTGCCCAGCTTTTTCAAGCTCTCCAGAAAGGCCTTCCAGGTCTCCGGCACACTCTTTTCCAGCAGCCAGCCCTCGCTCTCGCACTCGGGGTCTTCGGGATTGGACACACTTTCCAGTGCCGTGTGCAGGTAGCGCAGCCCAGTCGTGGTGGTCACCTGGTTGGGGGAGAGGAGACTTAGTGGAGGTCTGGGAGGAGTAGCGGGGATTGGGGCTGTCAGGAAACCAGGGGAGCCGTTGGCCTGTTCATGACGGGGCCCTTCAATGAGGCGGGCTCTGATGAGTCTTGCTGGGGCACCCAAGACACTGGCCCCTATCCAACCTCATCACCTCCCCTCTCTCCCTTTCCCGCCACCCTGTGCTTCTTTGGGATCCCTCTACACCCCAGCCTTTCTCTTCCCCAGTCTGTACCATTTGCTACTTTCTCTACCTCGAATGTTGTTCCTCTCCACACTCGCCTGTTAATTCAGCTTCAGCCCTCGTGGTGCCTGTCCCTGCTCCTCCTCCTCCTCCCCCATCCTCTCAGGTCTCTCCTGTCCTGGGGGCATTAGGCCTGGGCTCCTTCTCCCTGTGCCCCACCCCCACCCCGCCCTGTGCCCCCCACTTCCTAGCACATGGTTTGGCACACATTGGGTATTCAGTAGCTATTTGCTGGACGGAATTTTAAAATGACCTCCTTTTCTGCAAACAATATGCTATGTGGTTTTCTCTACTTCTGTTATCTTCAGTAGTGTGGGGGTGAGTGGGTGGTTTGTTTGGATTTGTTCACTAGTCGTCACTGGGGCAGACACTGGTGCCAAAATGTCTGGGGTCCGAGCCCAGCTCTGGCACTTAGCCATGTGATGAGGAAACCTGTTGACTCATCTGGTTTGCAGGTTTTCAGATAAGTATCGCCTGCCCCATGTGTGTGCTGTGACACTTCAGTATGTGGAGGCCGTGGCACCTGGTACACAGTGAGGGTGAATAGAGGTGTCAGCTGTAATCGGTTATTAGAGTGGTGAGTATTGTTTTCAGCTGTCTGTTGCATTGTGTTAGCCACTCGTTTCTACACAGTCCTGGTTTGCTCTCACATACTTCTCCTTTTAGGGTACAGCAAACTCTGTGAGGGGACTAGGCTCGCTAATGGAGAGCGTCCGCCCCCCGAGGCAGGAGCAACCCTGTTCCATCTCGTTCACCCAGTAAATTGCCCTGGAACCGCACTGGCTGGTGGAGGGCCTCGGTAAACATCTGTTGAATGAATGCTATGGGGCAGCAATTTTCAACCCACGTGTTGCAAGAATGTATAAAACATGCTGTGACATCTGACTATTCGATCAGGGGCACTGACCTCTTCTCCCTTAGATTATCAAATAAAAAAATGACAACATCTACACAACCATAGTTGTCTGGTGTGAGTGAATCAAAATTACACTTTTTTTTTGTCAGATTGGAAAAATTTTTTGGGTGGGGGGTGTGCCGCAGAATTTTAATAATTAGTTTATGTGTGCCATGAGATGAAAAAGATTGGGGGCATTTTATAATGATGGCAGATGATAACAGTAACTAATAGAGTTTAAGTTATTGTTATGGTCCACTGAGAGTGTAATAGTTTTAGCAGTGGGGAAACATACCTCTTCCTGGAAGTCCTCTTTGCCTGGACCCACTGTGGCCCCCTCCTGCTTTCCTGCAGGCGGCCCGCGCTGCACTGAGTTTTGCACTTGGTAATGGCTCCCTTAGGTTCACGGCTCAGATGTCATCTGCTAACTGGGTTGTGAAGTCCGGGAGGGCAAGGCTCAGGGCAGAATCCTGTCTTAACCCAGCCCCCCTTGTGCCCATCACAAAGCTCTGCCCACTAAAGACCTCAAGTAAACGTCAGGGGCATTCGAGCTCCCTGTCCACAGTGAGATGGCTCCTGAAAAGGTGCTGCACTGAGGCAGCCAGTGGAGCCCAGCCTTCCAGCAGTAAGCTTCTCTCCTAATTCTACCCAGGGTTCCCAGGACTCTGCCTCAACATTACAGGAAGCCCTCCCTCCCCACCCACCCTCAGGGAGCACAGCCCCTCTCGGGTAACGTGGCTAGTGGGGTGTCAGCCAAGGGCACTGCTGCGTGAGAATTCCCATAGACTAAGAGAGAGACTAAAGGAACCGTTCAGTGAATCTTCTGACAGAAAGTTCCCCCACCCAATGTTTCTGATTTTGTACACTTGGAATTTGGAGTCTGGATTTTCTGCTGTCCGCTCAAAGCAGGAGCCCAAGTCACCCTCTGTGCCACCTTGGTCTGCCACTCATTAACCTTTTGCGCTCCAACATCGAGGCTGACTCGACAGACCAGGCGCTAGTAGCAGGTCCAACGTCAAGCTGAGTTGGTGATTGAGCTAATTGGCAATTTCCGCCAGGGAACTACTGCAACCAAGAGAGGAAGGACTTCCAATTCGGACCAGACTGTTTCAATTCCAAAAATAAAATTGGAGCGCAAAGGGTTAACGCACACCCCATTCAGCACCCAGGACAGCGCCCAGAGCACGGTAGGTTTGTGAAATCTCTTCAATAAAGGAATTCAGCATTCACTGAGGGCTTACTACATGCCAAGCCCTGTGGCTACAGAGAGGAATTCAGCCTTACAGCCGAGATAAGATGAAGCCACAAATAATTAGAATAGCAGGTAAACAGTGATCGACATCTCAAAAGAAGCATGAATCCAAAGAGCTCGCATTTGCTGAATGTTCACCCATACCTGGTCAGCGGTCCCTGAGCTAAGTGCTGTCAGCTCCATATAACAGAGACCTCAGACCAAAAAGTGGAGGCACAGGCTGGACCTCTAACACATGCAAAGTGGAAGCAGCCAAACCAAAGGCCGCCTAATACATGATTCCATCTATATGAAGTGCCCAGAATAGGTAAATCCACAAGGACAGACCACAGATTGGGGGCTGCCTGGGGCATGGGCTGGGGGATTGGAGAATGACTGCTTAATGGGTATGCAGTTTTCTTTGGGGGTGATGGACGCGTTTGGGGACTAGGTAGAGGGGTGGCGGCGTAACATTGTGATTGTTCTAAATGCCCCTGTATGTTCACTTAAAATGGTTGCTTTTATGTCCTATGAATTTCACCTCAATAAATTATTTTTTAAGCAACAGGACAGAAACAAACAAATGGAAAGTGGAGGTCTTGGGGTTCAAGCCTTGGCCCTCCTGACCCACAGCCAGGCAGAGGGCTGGTTCCAAGGAGGGAGGGAGGGAGGGAGGCATGTGCTCCAGGCCCAGTTTCTTCCCTTTAAATCCAAATAGGCCCTGGCTGGTTGCTCAGAGCGTCAGTCCATGGACCGAAGGGTTGTGGGTTCAATTCCTGGTCAAGAGCACGTACTTCGGTTGCGGGTTCGATTCCTGACCCTGGTCAGGGCAGGTGCAGGAGGCAACCAATCAATGTGTCTCTCTCACATTGATGTTTCTCTCCCCCCCCCCCCCACCTTCCACTCTGTCTGAAAATCAATGGGAAAAATATCCTCAGGTGAGGATTAAAAAAATGAAAATAAAATACAATAAATCCAAATGGGCAGATGGCTCCCTTTTCCCCTGCACCCCACCCCAGGCCAGGAGCCTACGTCAAAGAGCCAGACGAGGAGCGTGATGGCGCCCATGGAGTTCATGAGGCTGCTGTAGTAGCTCAGCAGGGCGGCCCTGCAGCCTCGCACCCACAGGTTGAGCTCCTCCGTCTGGTGGTCATAGCTGTAGTGCGCCGAGTTGTTGGTGAGCTGGTACTGGATGCAGGGCCGTGGCGAGTTGGGGTTGCAGCAGCTAAAGGGGACACCGTCCACCAGGTACCTCCCATCCACGTTGCTCTTGATGCGGCTGGAGGAAAAATAAACAACTTGAGAGGGCTTCTCGGACTTTTCACCCGGTGCCAGTTCCTCCCGTCCCCGCCACAGTCCCATTCATTCATGCATTTACTCTCTTGGTCATGTTTGCTGTGCACAGACTATGTGCCAGCTAGTTAGTGTTCTAGGCACTGAAGATGGAGCAGTGACCCCCGGGAGCCGGTGCCCCTGCCTTGCTGGAACTTATGTCCTGGAGCAGGGGTGGGGAACCTTTTTTTTGCCAAGGGCCATTTGGGTATTTATAACATCATTTGCGGGCCATACAAAATTATCAACTTAAAAATTAGCCTGCTAGGCCTCGCCGGTTTGACTCAGTGGATAGAGTGTCGGACTGGGGACTGAGGTCCCGAGTTTGATTCCGATCAAGGCCACATGCCCAGGTTGTGGGCTCAGTTCCCAGTGCAGGAAGCAGCCGATCAATGATTCTCTCTCATCATTGATGTTTTCATCTCTCTCTCCCTCTCCTTCTCTGAAATCAATAAAAACATACTTTTTTTAAAAAGAAAGTTATTTTTAAAAATTAGCCTGTTATATTTGGTCAAACATTTAATTAACTCACCCCTAATGCCTTGGCAGGGCCAGACCAAATGATTTCTCGGGCCTTAGCCCACAGCTGGACGTTCCCTGCCCCTGCTCAAGAGGGTTGGGATTGGGGAATGTAGAGATCATCCATCGTCCCTGGCAGGCAATGATTTCTTAGAACCATGGCAGGCTGGTCAGAGCAACAGGGGGGCAGGGCTCTGCCTTGTATTCGTGACCATCCGACTTCAGCCCCCAGACCTCTCTCCAAATTCATCTCCCCCTTTGGGACCAAGACCCCCTCTGGCCAGATCAGTTCTTCCCAGCAGATGTGTCAGGGCCCGTGCAGGGGATGAGGCTTGCCCCTCGCTTTGCTCACCATTTGCTCACCATCCACATGAACTCTGTCCAGCTGGGTGGGCACTCCTTACTCACCTGACGGATGCACCCACATAACTCTGCATTTCTATATTTATGTATGTATTGGGTTGGAGCACACCATACGTTCGTGTGGGTTCAGATTCAAGAGGAGGAGACATCTCTATAGCGACGGGTCTCCCCTCCCCATCAGGCGGGCTGGCTATGCCCTACCTGACCAGGTCTGTATGTGTCAAAAGCCATTGAGATTTGCGCACCTGACTGTATGCATGTTATCTTGAGTTTAAAAAAAATTGTTTAAGTTGCACATGAACAGTGCATTCCATATAATAGCAGACTTTTACAACACAAGAATAGAAAGCCTGTAATTGTTTAAAATAGAAATCATGTTCAACAATATCCACTGAAATGATCACTGCACTCGAAAAAAGGACCTTCGCCCTGGCCAGGGAGCTCAGTTTGTCAGAGCATCGCCCAGGACGCCCAGGTTGTGTTCGATCCCCAGCCAGAGCACATACAAGAATCGGCCCATGAATGCATAAATAAGTGGAACAACAAATCATGTTTCTCCCCTTCCCCCCCTCTCTAAAGTCAATAACTAAAAAAATATATTAAAAATAAAGACAGTATAAGTAGACTTTCATATTTAGCTTCTAAGTAAAATCTCCTTCATGCAATAAAACTCCCCCTCATTCTCATCCCTCCAGTCCCCCCACTATGGCCAACGTGTCTGACCTTTTGGGGAGGCGTCATGCAGGGACAAGCAAACACGGGTTCCATAAATGTTACTCTTCCCAGTTTGCTTCTTTTTTTTTTTTTTTTTACCTAAGTGGCAGCATTATATACTACTGTCTTTTTTTTTTTTTCCTAAAGAGTGGAAGGGAGGGAGAGAGACAGAGAGAGAAACATCGATGTGAGAGAGACACACATCGATGGGTTGCCTTCCACACACGCCCTGACCAGTGGCCAGGGATCCAGTCTGCAACTGAGGTATGTGCCCTTGGTCGGAATCGAACCCATGACCCTTCAGTCCACAGGCCAATGCTCTACCCACTGAGCCAACCGGCTAAGGCTATCCTACTGTGTTTTTACCCTTAACAATGTCTTGAAGATGATTTATATCTGCCAGTGCGGAGTGTTGTCAGGTGTTCGGTGAGCTCTATGGTGTCCCCACCGCAGATGGTTCCTGGGGTACTGGGCAGTTCCCGTGGGGGCGCTTGGGGTTTCCTAGTCTCCTGTTAATACAAACACGCACGTGTCGTCCTGCATGTATAAATTTATCTAGAGGGTAAGTTCCTAGAAGATGCATTCCTGCGCCAGAGGTGGGTCCATCTGTGACCACACCAGACACCGTCTGCCACTCTCCTCGGGGCTGGGCAGGCACACCCACCAGCCACACCTGCGAGAGCCCCTCCCCACAGCCAAGCCCTCACAGGTCTGACAGATGATAGTGAAAGCTGACCCATGGAAAGAGTATCTTGGGTCCTGACACAGTAGCTTGGTTGGTTGGAGTGTCGTCTGTACACCAGAAGATTGTAAGTTCAATTCCTGGTCAGGGCGAGTACGGGAGGCAACTGATTGATATTTCTCAATCGATGTTTCTCTCAAAAAAAAAAAAAAAAAAAGAGAGAACATATCCTTGGGTGAGGTCTAAAACAATAGTATCTCGCGGTTGTTTTAATTTCCACTTCTCTCATGAGTGGAGTTTGGTGTCTAACATGTTGAAGAGCCACCTGTGGTGCTCGCTCTGGCAGCACATACACTAAACTGGAACGTACAGAGATTCACATGTCGACTGTGCAAGGATGACACACTAAGTCCTGAAGCGTTCGTGTTTTCACTTAATAAAACTTAAGACTATAAAAAACAGATCCAGCCCAGCTGGTGTGAGTGAGCGTTGACCTATGAACCAGGAGGTCACAGTTCAATTCCCGGTCAGAGCACATGCTGGGTTGTGGGCTCAATCCCCAGTGTGGGGTGTGCAGGAGGCAGCCCATCAATGATTCTCTCTCATCATTGATGTTCCCCCCCCTCTCTCTCTCCCTTCCTCTCTGAAAGCCATAAAATATATATATATATTTGGAAAGATCCATTTGTGATTCCTTTTCAGTGAACTGTCCTTTGCTGTCCGTCTGAGTAAGACTTTAAGAAAGCTCTGTACAGCCCTAGCCGGTTTGGCTCAGTGGATAGAGCGTCGGCCTGCGGACTGAAGGGTCCCAGGTTCGATTCCGGTCAAGGGCGTGTACCTTGGTTGCGGGCACATCCCCGGTGGGGGGTGTGCGGGAGGCGGCTGGTCAATGTTTCTCTCTCACATCCCCGGTGGGGGGTGTGCGGGAGGCGGCTGGTCAATGTTTCTCTCTCATCGGTGTTTCTAGCTCTCTATCCTTCTCCCTTCCTCTCTGTAAAAAATCAATAAAGTATATTTATAAAAAAAAGAAAGAAAGCAAGAAAGCTCTGTACACGTGGCCTCCTTGGCTCGAGAACAATCCATGCCTGTGTAACGGCGACCATATTTCTACACCGACCTTTCCTGCATGGACAGGACCCACTGCCCGAGGAGGGGGCGGCCCTGGGTGCACAGGTGGTCCCGCTGAGAAGAGCAGGACGCCTGGGCTTCTGCCCGTCCATCCCCCGGGTAGATCCCCTCACCTCCCTGGGCCTCAGCTCCCTCATCTGTGAAGTGGGGTCGACACAAGGATCACACGAAGGGATCCGTGTGAAAGGCTTCGAAGAGCAGGGAGCCTCTGTGACAAGGTGAGACACTGCCGGGGACACACTAGCGGGGTGCATGGGCCCTGTCAGCTGTGCGGAGGCTGAGAGCGCTGCTGTGAGAAGGAGGCACCTGTGGCTGACAGCAGCGGCCGCTGGAGAAGTTCTCGCTCTAACCCCACTGACTGCGGGTGAGCAGCCCAGCAGGCGGAGCAGACAGTGTCTCCCACCCCAAGACCAGCCCCGCCACGGCCTCCTCGTCTCCTCACCCGGAGTAGCTCAGCTCGGCTGCTGCCGCCCCTCCCTGCCTGGCGGCCCTGGCGCCCACTCCACCAGCTCAGTGTCCCGCCTGGGCCGTCCCAGCGCCTCCCGTGGGGGAGAGCCCGCGTCAGCCCCAGCCTGCATCTGTGAGCGGGTCGCACACGGGTGGCGGCACTGACTCCTCTCTCCAGAGCTGGGGGTGGGGGGGCCTGCCCTCTCAGCGGCTGTGGGTTAGCTGAGACCTGCACGGGGTGCAGCTGGGGAGAAGGGGGCTCCCCCCACGCAGGGCCCCCTCCCTGGGACCTGGCCCGCCACCAGCTGGTTCTGCAGCAGGGGAAGGGCCAAGGCAGGGCCGGGCCTCACCCAGCGCCAGAGTGGCCCTGCCTCCGGGACCTGCCTCTGGGCCCTGCCTGAGGACCAGGCCTGCGGTTCTGCGGGCTGAGGCCCCAGGTCGGGGCTGCCTGCAGCCTGCAGCTGGCCTTCTGGGCGGCGCCTTCCCTCACCGTGCTGACCCCAGTGGAGAAGCCACCTTGCTGGCCCCTACAGGGCAGGGCCATGTCCCCCCCCCCAGACTGGGGCTCCCTGAGGACAGGGACATGTCCCCCCCTCCAGACTGGGGCTCCCTGAGGACAGGTCCGTGTCCCCCTCAGACTGGGGCTCCTCAAGTACAGATTTAAAAAATGAAAATAAAATACAATAAAGAGGAAAGGGCCATTCCCCCTCAGACTGGGGCTCCCCGAGGCCAGGCCTGTGTCCCCCTCAGAGAGGCAGACGATGAGCGTGATAAAATCCATGCTCATCATGGAGCTGC